CTTTCTAGATTTCAGGGTCCAACCTCTTCAGTGTCATTTTCTAAAGTAAGTTTTATAAATGAGCATTTATTTTATATGAATCTGCTGCTATAGACACTACCATTTGATGTGGGACAATTAGAGAATTTGAATATGCACAACTGCTTTTCTATACCATCATGCACGTTTTTTAATGTGATCATCTTTAATGCTGATGTAATCCTAGAACTGTACACTAAATCATGAAATACGGCTGTCGAGGAGACATAGTCTAGGGGTTTTTTTTATGTTGTTCAGATTAAAATAATAATCAATCCATAGCAACACTAGTTTTTAAAAATCAATCTTTCACAGATCTGAGAGGAATTGTTATACAAGTCAGGGTATCTTCTTAATTGAGCATTGAGTAATTTAGAATAGAATTTACACAAAAACCAGAAATCTCCCCCAAATCACCCAGAAGGGTCCTTAGTTACCCTTTGAGCCTCAACTAAACTCATCTCTGTGGCTCAACTTTCAGCTAAATGTCAGCATGTTTATAAGGTGAGTAGAAACACCAGTTATTCCTGTGGGGTAAGTGACAATCCATAGCTACCTTGCACTGATTGATGACGTGGTAATTGTCAGGGGAAAGACTCCTTCTTTCTCCCTCAGAGAAGCTGGTGGAGTCAAACTGCTGACATTTTTGGTGAATAGCACAATGCACAGTGTCCAAATTGAAATATGCTCATCCTCATATTGCTAAGTTCTCTGTGATATTTACTAGGAATAATACATAAAATATAATTAGATTCGAGGTGGAGATGGAGAACACAAGGCAAAATAGACCTTATTAGCTCTTTACAAACTCCTGTGGTCAAAATGATATGATAACTCATCAATAAGAGTAGAAAAACTGACTGTAAATAAATTTCTCTTTCTCTCTTTCTCTCTCAAAAATTAAGTTCTCTAGAGCTCAGGAGCGATTTTAAGCATTCTACCTACTCTCTTAACAAATCTCCAAACCTGAAGGGAATTTAGGTAGACTCTCCAATTCTCGGGTTTTTTATTCTTTTCCTTATGATTGTTAGCTATCTGTCAACATGGAAACTGTTAATTTATGAATTTCAAGTAGGTGAAAGGGAGAAGTGGTGGAACGTAAGAAAAGGAAACATTTCAATAACCTAGTGTGATTCTGCTCACACTTCCTTGTTCAAAATTGAGTCTTTGTCTACCTCTGCTAAGGAAGCTGTCAGGGGCGATTAGAGAAGCAACTTTTAGCTGGGCTTATTGCCAATCCTAATAAAATCAGTCTGTCAATAATGGAAGAAATTAAGGATGATTATTGACTTCCACAACCTCTCTGTCACAGCCGCTGCTACAATCTGCTTTTTTATCAAGACAGACAATTAAAGCCCAGAAAGATTAAGTGTCTTCAGCTGTGTTTCAAAATAAAGCATGGTGAATGAAAAAAACAATTTATTTGGTAAACATTTACTCAAATCACAATTTAAAAAAAATGCTGGTGGTAGAACCATGAGTTTGTGTAATATATACTGTTCTCAGTCACTGAATTGTATGTGTGTGTGTAGAGGGCAAAGGGATAGGAAGGAGTTATTCTGAAGTTCAAAAGATTTTACAGTCATTCATGACTTAGTAACGACTCATTGACCATGATTTCTAACTGATTTGCAGCTGATGTTAACACTGCCGCAGGTTTTCCTATTCTGTAAATGGCACAGGAGAAGATTGTTCCTCTTTCTCCTTGGAGGAACTGGTGGATTCGAGTTGTCATTGGGTTGTCAGTGCAACTTTTTACCCACTAGGACACCAGAGCTCCCTTAGTAAAGTAATAAAAAAAAGACATTTTAATTACGGATATTTAAAAGCTTAGCACATTAACTTTCCTATTTGTGATTAATTTGCCTGTGGAAATTTTACTTGTTACTACTAGCAGACGGGAGGTCAGGAGACGAATTACACTGGGGAAGTCTGTACTCAGGGACCTCTCCAACTTACTGAGGAGCAATGATGTCAGTTTGAGAACTAAAGTGCACCCGGTTTAAGGCATGGTCTTTTCAGTCCCTTGCTATGTATCTGAGAGTGGGAAAATGACTAAGGATGACAGAAGAAGAATTGATGCCTTTGAATTGTGGTTTAAGAGAAGAGTCCTAAAATATCCCATGGACTGCCAAAAGAATAAACAGCTGTATCTTAGAGAAGATGCAGCCAGAGTGTTCCTTGGAGGCAAAGATGATGAAGCTCTTTCTCACATACTTTGAGCATGTTGCTAGGAAAGGAAATTCACTGGAGAGGGACATCATGCTTGGGAAGATAGAGGGACAACTAGAGAGAGGAAGACCCTCAACCAGGTGGATTGACATAGTGACTACAGCAATGGGCTTGAGGGTGTTGAAGACAAGATTCAGATCTATTTTTCCTAGGGTCGCTATGAGTTGAACTGGACTCGATGGCACCTAGCAACAACTATAACAACAGGAAAGTTTTAAAAACTAAACACCAGACCCAATCTCTAACACAGAAAGGAAGTTAATACTGAAGCTGGAAAGGCATTAATGTTTCTTTTGAGATTCTTATGGAATCTAGATTTAGGTGTGGAGGTGGGCAGAGGGGAGTTTTGCTAAATGAACTGCTAAAACTATTTTCCTACAAATTATGTTTTAAATAAAAATTACTTCCTGAAGTCATCCACAGGAGCTCTAGTCCACACAATAACAATAATAATCTAGAACCCAAACATTGATGTTGTTATATGCCTTTGAGTCAAATCAACTCACAACTGACCCTCCAGTGTATTTTCAGAAGCAGTAAATCATTTGGGAGGGGATTGTCCATCTTTCTTCGGTGGAGCAACTGGTGGATTCAAGTAACATGCTTTTGGGTTGACAACACATCACCTTACCAGTAAGTCACCAGAGCTCCCTAAAAAATCAAACCACAATTTAGCCTAATTGGTGAAAAATAACTGCTTTGAGCATTGTGTTCTTTTAAAGAATTGTCTATACTGGATCAACTGGTAATAAAACCTTGAAAGGTTAGACAGGAAACTTGTTTTTAGTTGCTGTCTTAGCTGACCATGACTCACCCTGTGAACAATAGATTAAAACCTTGTCTTCTCCTTCCCATGTTCACAGCCTCCAACATGCTCAAGGCCATTGTTCAGTCCTTGTGCCAATTCATCTCATTGAGGGTGGCCCTCTTATTTCCTAATCTTCACCCCCCACTCCACAATTTCCAGTACACCTTTTCCCAAGGACTAATGTATGTGAACCGAAGTTCCATCGTCCTTGTCTCTAAGGAGCAGCCTGGTTGGACTTCTTCCGGGACATCCTTGTGTTGCTGTTATGGTGATCCATATTCAACCCCCTTCACCAACACCACCATTCAAAGGCATCAGTTTTTCCCTGGTCCTCCAACTTTTAAATGCAAACAAAGCAATTGAACATACTCCCTTTGGGAGACAGTGAATTTATTAATGTGGAAGAATAATTTAGAAAAGACAAGTGAGAATAATTGCCCAACTTGAAGAATGTGATCCATGTCAATGCACATGTAGAAGTCATTGATTTATGTATGTTTTGTTATGAGTTTTTGTAAACAAAAAAATAATTTCTCAAAATTTCTTTTGAGAATGTATCACTGTAATTAATACACTCCATACAATAAACTTGAACTTATTAAGTGCCTTCAAGTCATTTCTCATTCATAGTAACCCTATGTAAAACAACTCTGAATCTTGCTTTATCCTGAGCCAACCTCACTGTCTCTGACACACTCACCCCCATTACCCCAGTCACTTAATCAATCCATCTCATCTAGGGTCTTCCTCTCCTGCACTGTCCCTCCACCCTCCCAAACATGATGTCACTCTCCAAGGACTGGTCCTTCCTTGCAACATGTACAAGGAACAGCCTAATATGAAAATCTGCTGTGTCCCTTTTCATCTTTCAGGAACCTCCCTCAACATTTTGAGGAGCACGATTAAGGGGTAATGATTGTGCTGTTGTTGTTGTTAGGTGTCATCGACTAAGTGGTTGAAATAGTAAATAACAATCCTAGTGGTAAAAAACAAATGGAGATTGCTTAATGCTTGTTAACCGTGTTACCTAGGTGGTAAAAATATAGTTTTCTAGGCAAGGAGTTGGAAATAAAAATGCTGACTTTCTCTCCCAGATTCCAACCGATTAAGCAGTAATTGTTAAATATCTACAATCAAGAATGCAGCACTAAATCAGGCTATATATTGATCCAAAAGGAGAATGTTACCTTATAACACTTTATTTTCACCTTTTTGAAAACCAGAATAGTCCCATTGTGCTTAGTGGGTTGTGGCACTGCTGTCTTCCATGATGCTTCTCAATAAATTTGATCCTACAGCCTTTAGATTAGCAGCCAATAGCCACCCCCTTGTCCCACACAGACTCTTTCCATTCGGACCCTGCCTGTGACTCACAGCCTAGTATCACAAAGCAAGGGACCTCTGATGGTGTAGTCCTGAGGCAGTGCTAATAATCCACAGGCTTCTTGACTCCAGCAGTGTGACCACTTCAGGGGCTCAGAACGAATGAGGAAGATGGGCGGTCTCCACTTAGTGTGATTTACAGACTCAGAAATGGAGTGTCAGCAAATTCACTGCAGTGAATTTGAATTGTTTGTTTTTATCACAAAGTGGTGGTCGGTTGACATCTAAAAATATTTTCTAAAAATTACACAATATTAAGTCTATCCATTTATGTTTAAAGTTAAGAAAGAAGCTACGACTTGGCAAAATTGAAATGATTTGTTGTAATGTACTTGGAGCAAAGGAGATACTAGTTGTCTTAGTTTTAGTAACTTTTTATTATATACTACTTAAAGTGCACATATTTCCAAATACAAAACCTTATTTTCATATTACCTTACCTGGAATTCTAAATATTTACATGTTTCTTATCACTAAATAAGCTATGTCTAGCACATAGACGGGGAGCAACACTTCTTGGCTAAAAATTCACTTTCTTGTGATTCTCTTCTGCCCGCAGTGGGAGAAACTACAGATGACCACGAGTGAAAGGAGGAAAATCTTCTGCTCTGTCACATTCCACGTGATCGCCATCACCTGTGTGGTCTGGTCCTTGTATGTGCTGATAGACCGGACGGCCGAGGAAATCAAGCAGGGCAACGATAACGGTAAGAGTACAGAGCTCTTCCTTTCTGTCTTAATTCTAACGAGACCCAGAGCTGGTAGGGAAAGGGGTTTCCTCAGTTTTGGTTCTCACTGATGACACCTGTGGAAAACCATCCTCAGTACTAATAGTTGTGTTTCCACCTGTTAATGTCATTGACACTCTGATTATAAAGTATTGAATACAGAGTCCTAAGTGAAGATGTGAAATATAACTAGTCCGTGTAAAACTCAGAAGGGAAAACTACAGTGATGTCATGTGTCCCATCTCTGGTGGCTTATTGGTAAGGAGTTGTGCTACCAAAACAATAGCACAACGTTCAAATCCACCAAATGCTCTTGGGGAGAAAAGCACACAATTTCATTGCCTCTGAAAACCCATTGGAGGGTCAGCTACGAGTTGGTTTCAACTCCACAGCCTTTAGCAAGTTTAATTTTGAAGACTAGTGACAAGTTGCAAATAAAGATGCTTTTAAAAGCATTGCAGCTTATTCTAACATTTAAATGGCTTTAGAAGTCATTTAAACTACGGACAAAAATAGAAAAGAGTCATTCTAAGATATTTTTTTCACTTATGAAATGCTCAACTTCATTTCTCGTCTAGTTGTTTAAATATTAGCTTAGAACCTAAGTCATGGCTCATGTTATTGGTCAGAACATATTACAAAACAGACAGGCAGGAGTAAAGTGGTGGATTTGAACAAAGATATTGTCCAAAGAATAATTTTGTAAGTGTGTAGTGCTATGAAAAAAAAATGTTAGTGGCTCATTAAAAGGAGAATAAAAAGAAAAGGAGGGGAGGAAGTAAGGAAAGGAGGACAAAAAAGAAAAGTTGCCGTTTTAGCGGTCTCATCGCCTAAGAACATTAAGGACGTCCCATTCCCCCATTTGCCCTCACGGTGGCAGCAGTGCGCATCCGCACACGCTCTCTGAGCCATCCAGACGCCAAATGCAGCTCTGTGAATCTCCGAAGAGATTCATCCCGTGCCTTATGACTAGTGAGAGGAGAAAAGAAAAGAAATGGGGAGAGAGTTGCCCCTTCCTTTTCTGAAGAGTCAAAGCATTGCTTCTTGACGTCAAAATGCTAGAGAAATAGGTAGCTAAGTGCCATAAAATTCAATATTATTTGTATGCAAACTACGTTGTTAACTTACACATTTTTTCCCGAGATGCTCGCTTTTTTTTTTCATTATTATTTTATCGCCTTTCATTATCTTTATTTTCCTTTGGAGGTTGGAATCATCACCTATAAACATTTACAAGTGAACATCTGAAAAATGTTATAATCAGAGGCTAACATGCTACATCATTGTGTAATAGTACATATGACCAAGGATAAGATGTGTGAAAAATCAGTCAGCAAAACTGAGTATGTTGTAAATCGGATACTACTTGTACTACCTTGGAACTTAAATGTTTTCTTGAAACTAAGGGCATATCTGCAAGCTGAGATAGTATTTTTAGATGTGAAATTTAAGAATTCAGTATTAGAAAACATACATTTGCCCAAGGTGCTGTCATTTCATCCCTCTCCCCATCATCTTCCTGACCTCACCTGGTTGCTGACACCTGCAGACTTCCCTTGTCCTATGGCCCCATGTAAAGGGGAAGGGGGAGAGGACATTAAGGGAAACTCTCCCGACAATAAAAAGCATCAGACCTGTATCACCTATATGTGGATTCCTCTTTAGATTCACTTCACTCAATCTCACTTCTAAGACATGAATGAATATGGTCCTTTATCCAAAAATAGACTTGGTTGTTTCAACTTTAACTCCCAAAATCTCTCCAGGACAAAGAAACCCAAGGCTCCACCTTTGTTCTTCTTCTTTCCCTCCCCTGCTCATACTTCTCATGAACATATTTCATTCCTTCAACTGTCATTCCTTTATTATTATTATTATTATTATTATTTTATTAGTGTGTGTGTACTGTCAAATCAGATCGGACTGGTACAGGAGGAGATTGTCCCTCCTTCTCCAGCAGAGCATCTGGTGGATTCGAACAGCGTCCCTCTGGGATTGCAGTGCAATCATTTCTATGTTGATAACATCCAGCATTACATCTCCCTCATTCCACACTCCAAGCTACGGCTCAGAAACTGTAGAAGCATACCTGTGAAGGTATGGGAGCAGCCCAACTCAGCCTGCCCACTATCCCCACAATCCACTATCCTTTCTAACTCTAAAATGTGAAATAGTGTCATGACACCCCATAATGAACCGGGGGCTCTGGTGGCATGACCCTTACTCTGCTAACCGCATGGGCATGCCTTTCTGGCTCTTCTAATCCACCAGCAGCTTTGAGGGAGGAGGATGGACAATCTCTTCCCAGGTGATTCAGAGCCTCTAAAAACCCACAAGAAGGTCAGTTATGAGTCAGTTCCAACTCAACAGCAGTGAAGTGATGGTGTTCTTACTTTATTATAAATAACAAACCACAGATCCAGCCATCAATCACCAACTCCTTTGAGTCTCTCTTGTGCCTCTGAGATCTGCCTATTTTTCTCTTTCCCACTGTCACTCTCTATGTACAAATTATCATTTACTTTAAACCTACAAGGGCATACATAACTAATCTTTCTCAAGTTTATTTGTTCTTCAATGCATGCTCAATACTATAACCATAGAACATTTACAAAAACCACAAGTCTAATCCTGCTATATCTCCTTTAACCATTGTTGTTGTTAGGTGCTGTCACATTGAGTATGACTCATAGTGACACTATGACCAAAAGATCTGATCCCTGTTCTATCCTGCACCATCCTCACACTTCCTGACACCCCAGAGCCCACTGTAGCAGTCACCGTGTCAATCTACCCTGTTGAAGGTCTCCCTTTCCTTCTCTGACCCTCTACCCTTCCCAGCATCATATCCCTCTCCAAGGAATAGTCCCTCCTAGCAACATGCCCAAAGTATGTGAGGCAAAGCCTCATCATTTTTGCCTCCAAAGAGCTCTCAGGTTGCACCCTTTTGAAGTCATATCTGTTGGTTCTTTTGGCCATCCATGGGATTACTATAACCATTAACTAAGACTAACTAGTAATTAATTAATTACTAATTACTATTAACTAATACTATTGCAATATAATTCAAGAACACTACAGCTCCCAGGACCTGGCACTAGCCAAATATTTAGTCCAAAACTTTTTTCACTTTTGGGGGTTCCCCCTGCTCCTATCTACCAAGACCATATGCAAACTTCACTCACATAATCTCTTCACTCACATACTTCCCTTTCCCCAACTCAGCTTATCAACTTCAAAAGCTTATCTATCACTCTCTCTGAGAAACTTGGTTCAGCTCCTGAAACTATTCTCACCTTAGTGGTTCCCCAGAAATGCTCCAGGCACCAGCAGCACCTGCAACACCAAACTATGCAAATTCCCAGCCTCCACTGTCTCCACCCCACTGAATCGGAAACCCTAAGAGTGAGTCTCAAAAATCTGTGTTAGAGCAAGCATCAGTGATTCTGATTCCTACTAACGCACAAGAACCACTGTCCTACCATGTCAGGTGTCCTGGTGGTGTAGTGTGTGACATATCAGATCATTGGCTAAAGATTATCAGAATCTACCAGATACTCTGTAGGAGGAAAGTGGGAGGTCCCCTCCTATAAAGATTGATAACTTCTGAAATCAATGGGGCCTCACTTAGAGTTGGAATTTACTTCAATTAATAGTGGGTTTGGTTTAGGAGTTTGGGCTCTGCCACGTGCTCCATGATCATCCTGCACGGCCCCTCTTTGCCACCTCCAGGGATACATTGCCTTGATTGCATAAGAGAATTACCTGAATCATTTCTAAAAAAATATAAAACCTGAGTTCTGTTCAGAGAGTCTTTGACTTAGCTCTCTGGTGTGGACTTACAGCAGTGATCATTCTTAAGAATGCCATTGGTGATTCTGAAATTGCTAGTGGAGATATTTAATGGGTTCTCCTGATAACAGAAAAGCTAGTAGAGAAGCCTCTGAAAAATCTCCTCCCAAGTGAAAAATTAGCCTCTGAGAGCCTTATGGAGCATAGTCTGACATACACAAAGGTCACCGTGAACTGCAGTTTTCTTAATGGCAACCAATTTTGGTTTGGTAGTTTAGATGCTTCTAACACTCCGGCATATTGAGGAGCTCTGTCCTGTCATAAGACTTATGTTATCACAGGTGCAATTGTATCTTCCTTTGTATGTGGGCATGAAAAACATCCAGTAAGAGCCACACCTCTACCCGGTAGCCTGAGCTCAGAGAAGCCTAGCTATGTCTGTCTTGTCCCCTCGCCGTGTCCTAGGACTGAGAACTGGAGTCCTGGCTGGTGGTCTCATCAATGCTGCAAAAAGAATAATGAGGTTCAGATGCCCTGTTCATTCCACAGCTTTTCTCCCCTTTGTTTTAAAATTTTCTCCAAAACGTTATTTTCCCTCAGTTTTGCAGGATTTCAGATGGCAGCTTCTCAGTAGACTAACCTTCAGATCCCTCTACCCTATTAACAAAGCTTGTATGCTACTCGAGGGTTAAGTTAATAGCCTATCTTTTAAAATTTTTTTGGTTCTTTAAAGACAATTGGAAAGAAGCAGCAGCTCTCTTTAGTGTTCACCAAACTTTTGAATTGGGAAGCATGACACAAAGAAACAGGGCCCAGGTAAAAACAGTACAATTCAAGGGGCCAAAGACAATGAATTGATATCCGTGATACTTCCATAGTTCTAGAGGCAGAAGTACTTAGACATGGAGAAATTACCATTAAAAAAAGTTAGTAGTAAAAATATAGGTTATTTATCTGAATAAAGAGTATATGAGGACAACAGTAGCATGTCAGATTGGCAAGTAGGCAAGAGGGAGGTAAGGAGTGTCCACCCTGGATGCAGCAGTAAAAAGATACCTTATCTTGACTCTCTGCTCCTCCCGGATCCAGACTGCCCTCTCTGCTCGTGCAGCCTCAGCCTAATCCCTGAGACACGATCGTGAAGGTCCGAGTAAAGGAATTTGGCCACTTTGGGCTCCTGGTCACCA